CAAAAATGCAGGCAAATTTGCCTGCCTCAGCCTACAATCTAAGGGATAAATATTTACTTTCTATAATATTTTTATACTATATTTTTACTTTTTGCAATATTTTTATGATAGTTTTAATATATTTCATATTTAATATTCTGATTCTTGAGGTATTTTATAGGCCTCTTCTGATAAAAACAAAAAGATATCTTGAGATAGGACTCTCCTAATAAAGGAAACTGAGGCACAAGCTAGTCTGAGTGGTTCTCAATAAGGTAACACAAAATTGTGCAGATTTAAGAATAAAATTAGATTAATATTAGAGATAATGAGAATGCCAGAGAGTTTAAATAGAGTATCTACAAATAGATACTAGGTATAGCAATTAATAGGTAACCTCTGAGTAAAACCTTTAAATAGACAATGATTAAAGTTGTATATGTGACCAATTATACTTTCACTAACCAATGTAAACCTACAAACAACTTAATAAAAATTAACTGACATCAAGGTCTTGTTGTAATAATAATAAAAAAAAAAAAATACACTGATTCTGTAATTTTTATAACATTTTATAAAATACAAAAAATCATTATTCTTGTTTGTAACAGATATAACAACTTGTATAAACTAATCAGATAGCCTAATACCTATGCAGCAAACTATTTAAATAGACAATAACTAAAGTTGTATATATGGCTTGTTATACATTCTTTATGTAAATCTCTTAAGCAATGTAAACCGCCTTAACAATAAAAAAAAATTAAAAATTAAAGAAAAATTAACAAACCCTACTTTATTGACATAAGCAAGATATAAAAACCAATTATATAATTTTATATAGCCTTATTAGCTAATTAAATAAATTAAGTTATAACTAAGGGTCTGCTTATCGCTTTATATATTTAAAAACAATTTTTTTTATTGATGCTACGATAAAAATATCACCAAGATTTTCCAATCTAATGTTTCGATAAATTTATTTTTACAAAAAAAAAAGAAATTATAAAATAAAAACTAAATATATAATTACTTACCACTTTTTGTACACAATTTTTAAATGCTTCAAATTCTTTGGCACATATATCCTTATTTACGCAATCAAGATTATTTGTTATACATTTTGCATAGATTGTAGCCTATTACATATAATAATTATCGAATTAGTCAAAAACATTTTTTTTTTTATTACTTTCAAACTTGCAAAAAAAATAAACATTTACTTGCGCAGAACATTGCGCAACCCCTTTGGAAAGTACCATCACATACTGTTTTTTTTTCGGACTTAGCATACTTTGTAAAAGAAATTAAACGAAGAATGACTGTGTGTAATACATATTTAACCGCTTTTTTTTGATTTTTATTTATCGTGTAACCATGAATTGTTTCCCCTGTTCAACCATGCGTAAATTGCCGGGGTTGATTTTATGCTATCGCTATGCTGATTGCTGATTTTTGATTTTTTCGTAATGGCGTCTGTAAAACCTATTAACAAAACTTCGATACATAGAATTTGCTCGGGTCAGGTCATTTTAGAATTAGCTACAGCTGTAAAAGAGCTTGTGGAAAATAGTCTCGACGCTCAAGCCAGAACAATTGGTGAGTACGTTTTACGTTATTACGTTATTATCAGCTAGCAAACGCGTCTTACTGTAAGTCTTGAATACTTTTTTCGTGTTTTTTATTTTATTTTATTTTTTTGTTGTCAAATAGAGATTAGGTTTAAGGAGTATGGCATACAATCGATAGAAGTAATTGACGACGGTACAGGAGTAGCTCAAAATAATTTCGAACAACTCGGTATGTCATTAATAACTCCAGGCCATTTTGATAACGTTTTAATTTTTGTATTTACGATAATCAACGATTCTCAGCCCTTAAACACAGTACTTCCAAGCTTTCTAGCTTTGAGGATTTGATGAATCTCAATTCTTTTGGTTTCAGAGGCGAGGCTCTAAGTTCTCTTTGCGCTCTGTCAAAGGTTATAATTTTGACATGTGTACAGGAGGAGGCCCCCGCCGGGTTTAAATTGGAATTCGATTCTCTTGGAAATCTAATTAAAAAGACGCCTACAGCTCGTGAGGTGCACATTGTAATTTTGATGTATTTAAGACTTTCATGCAAACATGCTGAATATTTGGTTAAATATGTAATATAAAACATCTATGATAAAGCGAGGCACGACTGTGATATTGCAAGGTCTATTTGAATCAATCCCTGTTCGGCATCAAGAATTTAAAAAGAACATAAAACGGGAATTTGTTAAAGTCTTGACATTACTACAAGCCTATGCTACAATTTGTCAAAATTTGAAAATTACTTGTTCAAATCAACTTAATAATAAAAGGTACGTTAAAATTAGTTATTGTCATTAACTGTTTCTCAGATTCCATTTAAATAACTGTGTGATTTCATATTGTAGCGCAAGAACTGTAGTTCTCAGCACAAATGGGAATAGTAGCGTGCGAGATAATATTGCTAATTTATTTGGCGCTAAAACATTATCACAAATTACGCCATTTGATTTTAATATTCAAGTGACACCGAAAAAACAAAAAATGCCAATAGACTCTGAAAATCAATCAGAGAGGTAATAGACTTTTCAA